AAAACAATCCTACAAGCAAAATACTCCCATAAAAAAGCTGGGGTAGCCATCCTAATATCAGACCACATTGATTTCAAACTGAAGAAGGTCACAAGAGACAGTGAAGACCATTTCTCATTGATCAAGGGATCTGTACAACAAGAAGAACTTAAATACTAAATGTATATGCACCTAATGAGGGACCAGCAAAGTACTTAAAACAACTACTCATAGACTTGGAGAAAGACATTGATAGCAACACAATACTAGTGGGAGACTTCAACACCACTTTATCACCTCTTGATAGATCAACCAGACTCAAGTTTAGCAAGGACATACTTCATCTGAGGGAAACAATGGAAGAAAGAGACTTAGTAGATATATACAGGACATTTCACCATCCAAAAGCTGAATACACATTCTTCTCAAGTGTACATGGAACATTCTCCAAGATAGACCACATGCTGAGCCACAAAACATACCTCCATAAAATTAAGAAGATAGAGATTTTATCAACAATCTTCTCAGACCACAATGCGCTGAAATTAGAAGTAAATCACACACAAAAACAGAAAAGTAAATCAAACACTTGGAAATTAAAGAGTGCACTATTAGACAATGAGTGGCTTAGAAAGGAAATCAAAAGATTCCTAGAAACTGATGAAAATGAGGACGCAAGTTATCAAAACATATGGGACACAGCAAAAGCTGTGATAAGAGGAAAGTTTATAGCTCTACAAGCATTCCTCAGGAAGGAGGAGCGAGCACACATAAGTAACCTAACCTCACAGCTTAAGAGCTTGGAGAAGGACCAACAAAAGGAGCCCAACCCGAACAGGAGGAAGGAAATAATAAAACTCAGAGCAGAGATTAACGAGATGGAAATCCAAAAAACAATCCGAAATATCAATGAAATCAAGAACTTGTTCTTGGAGAAAATAAACAAGATCGATAAGCCTCTTGCAAAACTCACAAAAAAAGGGAGAGAGAAAACCCTAATAAACCGAATCAGAAATGAAAAGGGGGTCATTACAACAGAAACTACAGAAATTCAAAGGATCCTCAGGGAGTACTATGAGAAGCTTTATGCCACGGAACATCTAAACCTCGAGGAAATGGATAAATTCCTAGATTCCTATAGACTCCCAAGGCTGAACCAAGAAGACCTGGAATACCTGAACAGACCTATCACCGTCAAAGAAATTGAAATGGTAATCAAAAGTCTCCCCAAGCACAAAACCCCCGGCCCAGATGGATTCACTAGCGAATTTTCCAAATATTTAAAGAGGGCTTACTCCCAATCCTCTTTAAGCTTTTCCACAAAACTGAAATATCAAAAACACTTCTGAACTGTTTCAGAAGCAAATATCACCCTGATACCAAAAGCAGATAGAGATACCACAAAGAAAGAGAATTACAGGCCGATATCCCTAATAAACACAGACGGAAAGATCCTCAAAAAACTATTAGCAAATAGAAATCAACAACTCATCAAAAAGATCATACACCATGACAAAGTAGGGTTCATCCCAGGGATGTAAGGATGGTTTAGCATTCGGAAATCGATCAACATAATCCATGATATCAAAAAGAAAAGATAAAAACCATATGATTATATCAATAGATGCAGAGAAAGCATTTGACAAGATCCAGCACCCATTTATGATGAAAACCCTCTCCAAAATAAGTATAGAGGGGACTTTCCTCATTATAGTTAAAGCCATATACCACAAGCCTACAGCAAGCATCATCCTCAATGGGGAAAAACTGAGAGCCTTCCCTCTAAGATCAGGGATGAGACTGCTGTTCAATATAGTACTGGAAGTACTTGCAATACAGTTAGGCAAGAAAAAGATATTAAGGTCATTCAGGTAGGAAAGGAAGAAATCAAGCACTCTCTATTCGCAGATGATATGATACTATACTTAGAGAACCCTATAACTGCCACCAAGAAACTCCTAGAAAAAAATAGACTTGTATAGTAAAGTTTCGGGCTATAAAATCAATACCGAAAAGTCCATGGCTTTCCTATACACAAACAGTAAGAGAGAAGAAAGTGACATGAAAAAACAATCCCTTTAACAATTGTGCCCCAGAAAATCAAGTACCTAGGAATCAGCTTAACCAAGGGAGTAAAGGACCTGTACAAAGAAAACTACAAAATGCTATGTCAGGAAATAAAAGAGGACACACGAGAAAAAGGAAAGATATCCCCTGCTTATGGATCGGGAAAATTAACATAATCAAAATGGCAATACTTCCCAAAGCATTATACAAATCCAATGTGATCCCAATAACGATATTCATGACATTCTTCAAAGAAATGGAGCAAACACTCTTGAAATTCATATGGGACAATAAGCCCCCACAAATAGCTAAAGCAATTCTTGGGAAAAAGAAAATGGGAGAAATCAACCTCCCTAAGTTCAAACTCTACTACAAAGCAGTAATAATTAAAACAGCATGGTACTGGAACAAAGGCAGAGCTGCAGACCAATGGAACTGACATCTCTCCTCAATCATACGATCATCTAATCTTTGATAAAGGAGGAAGAAATGTGAAGTGGAGCAAGGAAAGCCTCTTTAACAAATTGTGCTGGCAAAACTAGATAGCTACAAGCAAAAAAAATGGGCTCAGATCTCTGCCTAACACCATGTACAAATCACTTAATCACTTAACTTCCCGTTAGTCGTCAATTTGCTCGAGCGGGCGCCAGTAACGTCTCCATTTGTCCCTGTCGCGTGCTAGTGTAGCCCAATGGCATCTGTTCGGTCTGGGAACATGAAGAGCCTCAAACCAATCGTTCATGATCTTGATGGAAAAGTCTGACCATCTGGTAGGTGGGCGGCCACGCGTTCTTTCGACATCCAGTGGAATCCAGTCGGTAACAGCTCTAGTTCAACGGTCGTCCTTAAATCTCATTACGTGACTAGCCCATCTGATTTTTGACACCTTGTCAAACGAGACAGCGTCCCTGATTCTTGATCGTTGACGGATGTCAGAACTCTGGAGTCTTTCTCTCATTTGAGTGAAACATGATATTCCAAGCATAGCTCTTTCAATTCCTCTTTGGGAGACCCGAATAGCATTCTCACCCTGTTTACGTAGGGCCCAGGTCTCTGAGGCATATGTTAATGCAGGAAGAACAGTGGAATCAAAGAGATGTGCCGGGAGCTGGAGGTTCTTCATCCTCTTAGCTATTTCTTCAACGTTCTTGAAGGCGTTCCAAGCCTCTCTCTTCCTCCTGTGCAGCTCGGGTGCCAGGTCATTTGTCATGTTGACTTCTCGACCTAGGTACACATAGCTGTTGCATTCGGAGATGGTCGTTCCATTGAGAGTGAATGGGGCATCAGGAGCAAGACTGTTTCTCATAAGCATTGTCTTCGTAGGATTCAGCTGTAGTCCTACCTTTCCACACTCACAGTCAAAGTCGGCCAGCATTTGTGCCGCTTGGCTGATGTTTGGTGTTATTAAAACAATGTCATCAGCAAAGCAGAGGTGGTGTAGTTGCCGACCATCTATCTTCACTCCCATTCCTTCCCATTCCAGTCGTCGCATGATGTTCTCGAGGGTGGCACTGAAGAGTTTCGGTGAAATGGTATCATCCTGCCTAACCCCTCCCTTGACATCAACGATCATTTCTTTGTAGAATGGTGAGATCCTGGTAGTGAATCCGCAATACAGCACAGGGAGAATCTTGATGTATTGGGCTTGAATGCCCTGATTGGCTAGGGCTTCAATGACCGCTTCCGTCTCAACAGAATCAAAGGCCTTCTTTAAATCAATGAACATTAAACAGAGCAGCATCTTGAACTCCCGAGAAACCTCAATGAGCTTGGTTATCATGTGGATATGGTCGATGGTGCTGAATCCTTTGCGGAACCCAGCTTGCTCGCATGGTTGTCCTTCATCTAGTATTCTGCCAATCCTATTTAGGACGACTCGAGTGAACAACTTGTAGATGAAAGACAATAGGCAGATCAGGCGATAGTTGCCAATGTCATGGATGTCTCCCTTCTTGAACAGTAGTACGGTCCTGCTGATTTTCCTTTGGGACGGAACCTTGCATTCAGTCAGGTAGCGTGTGAAGAGCCGAGCCAGTGTATTGATGAGTACTGACGGCAGGTTCTTCAGGTGTTCAGGTCTGACCTTGTCTGGGCCGGGTGCTGTTCATTTCTTTACTGACGAAATGGCGTGTCGGATTTCGGAAGGAAGAACGTTGGGAACGACATATCCATCCTGTGGAATTTGGTACGTCGGCAAGTGGACATGGCTATCGAAGAGATTTGAGTAGAAGTCATGGATAATCTTCTCCATTGCCATTCTGGAGGATGTGATGGATCCATCAGGACGTCGGAGGGCAGTCATCTTGGTCTTGTAGTTGGCGAAGGACAGGCGGGTGTTACGAATACTTTTCCCAGCTTCTGCCGCATCTATCAGCACTTCTGCTCTTCTCTTTGAGGTCTTCCTTGAAAGCATCTCTGCACTGCTTTGCGATCTCGGACGTTAGCTTGCAGTTGCCTGAGGCATGCGCCAAACCACGTTGGCGAATAAACTCAAGAGTTTTCGAAGACAGGCGTTTTTTTGTGACTATCTCTCTCTTGGCGTTCCTCGCACAATCATGGAGGTGCTGAACCAGTCAATCGTATTCCTTGTCAATGTTGTCAACAATGGCATCTTCCCATGTTGCTGCAGTAGTGCCAAAGAGCTCCCAGTTGGTGGTCATTCTGGGAGTTCTCTTTTTAAACTTTGCGGCCCTTTCTCCCCACTCTGTGAAGTAGAATTTTGCATGAAGGAGACGGTGATCTGATCCCATTCAGAATTTTGGGACAACAGCAACATCGGTTAGGCAAAACCGTCGATTGAATATGATGTGGTCTATTTCGTTGTGGAATCGTACACCGGGAGACTCCCATGTTCAACCTTTAGATTCTGCCTTCTGGAACTGTGAGTTACCATGAATGGTCTTGGTCGACATGATGAACTCAGACAGTTTCTCACCCTGTTCGTTCCATTCTAGGCCATGGGTCCCGATGTGAAGTTCTTCAGCTGATCTTCTCGGTCTTATCTTGGCATTAAAATCACCCACAATGATCTTGTAGAAGGTGTGGTCTTCTTTATAGAACTTCTCCAGTTCCATGTAGAACTTCTCGATTTCTCTTTCATCATAATGAGATGTTGGTGCATAGACAACGAAGATAGAAACTGCCAGCAGTGAGCCACATCTATTCAAATGTAAACGTCCAATTCAGGTTGTTAGGCATTTGAATGAATCAATGCTCATGGCCAAGGTTATGTTGACAAGGACACTGACGCCTCCGACACCTCTTTTATCGCATGCTCCAAGGAACAATTCTTCTCCAGTGTCGAAAACAGCATGGTGAGATTCATGCCTTCTTGTCTCGGTCAGACCAATGATGTCGTACTTGATCATTTGCGCTTGTACCATCAGGTCCTCGATGGATGCATCTGATGCTAGCGTACGTGCATTGAAAGTACAGACGATCATTTTTGTCTTCCTTCGTTGTGGCAGCCTGGTTTGGCCTTGAGATTTTATCGGCCTCTCCTTTCTCATTCTTCTCAGTGCTGCAATGTCGGTGAAGCCTTCAGGGTCAGGTGAATGATACCAGTTGTAATTTGGCATATCGAATACACAACGGATAGCTTGCCAGGTTCTTCCGTGTGGGCTGAATACTCTCGGTAGCTTGCCAGACTTTCCGAGAGGGTGGATAGAGGCTTTGGGGGCGACCTCTAATCGCCCTCGTAGGTGTTACCATATTTGAACCCTATCAATATGGTATGGCAATTCCGGAAGATGGGTATGTAGTGTCTTATGATGTGTCGTGCAGCCGCCACGCGGGTCCAGAAAGCATCCTGGAGTGTGGCAGCGGCTGGGTATTGGAGGTAGTGTCGGTAGTGGAGGTCTGCCAGTGAGGTATTTATCTGGTCCCGGTAGGGGTAGGGTGGGTCTTCTGTGTGCAATCCGATCCCTGGGTCTCTAGTGGTTGGTAGGAGCAGACAGGGCAGAGTAGGGTGGTGCTCCTGATTAGAATCCCTTTGTCACCTGTGGTTGGTGGGAGCAAGCAGAGAATCTCTGTCCCTGGGTCCGCTGAGCCTGGAGTCCAAGGTCTCAGAGATTTCCGCTTATCTTGTTCTGTGGGTCTCCAGTCTTGCGTGAGTCTCAGCTGGAGCTACCATGTGGGTCCGGAAAGCGTCCTGGAGTGTGGCGGCGGCTGGATAATGGAGGTAGTGTCCATCATGTACAAAAGCAAGATCAAAATGTATTAAAGACCTCAACATCAGATTGGGATCCATAAAGTACACTGAAAACAAAGTTGGCAAAACCCTCCTTGACATTGAAGCTAATGGTATCTTCAAAGATGGCATGCCAGGGGCTGAGTCAGTGAAAACAGAGATAGACAAATGGGACTATCTTAAACTAAGAAGCTTCTGCACCTCAAAAGAAACAGTGACCAAAATACAAAGACAGTCTACAGAATGGGAAAGGATATTCGCCAAATACACTTCTGATAAGGGGTTGATATCAAGGATATACAATGTACTGGTTGAACTCCACAAGAAGAAAACATCCAGCCCCATCAAAAAATGGGGCAATGAAATGAACAGAAACTTTATCAAAGAAGAAATCCGAATGGCAAAAAGGTACATGAGAAAATGCTCTACATCATTAATCATCAGGGAGATGCAGATCAAAACCCAATGAGATATCATCTCACACCACAGAGACTGGCCCACATCCAAAAGAACAAAAGCAACCGGCGTTGGCGCGGATGTTGCGAGAAAGGGACCCTCCTTCATTGCTAGTGGTAATGCCAACTGGTTCAGCCATTTTGGAAATCAGTATGGACAATTCTCCAAAAATTAGAAATTAAGCTCCCATTTGACCCAGCAATACCATTCCTGGGAATATATCCCAGAGAGGCAAAAAAAAAGTATAGTCAAAGTGACATCTGCAGTTGTTTGTTCATTGCAGCACTCTTTACAATAGCTAGAATCTGGAAAAAACCTGAGTGCTCGAGAACAGATGACTGGTTAAAGAAACTTTGGTACATCTACACAATGGAGTACTATGTAGCTCTTAGAAAAGATAAAGTCATGAAATTTACATACAAGTGGTACTACATGGAAAGTATCATGCTAAGGGAAATTAGTCAGAAAGAAAGCGATAGACATAGAAAGATTGCATTCATCTGGGGAACATAAAGTAACAAAATAGGAAACTAACACCCAAGATTGGCCGAGATTAGTGCCAGGAGGTTTACTCCATGGCTTGGAGGCCAGCCACACATGCTATGGGAAAAGGGAGCTCAGATAGAGAAGGGACCACCAAATAAAGGATGTTGGGAGGATCCTCCCAGGATGGGAGAAGCATGCTGAAAGTAGACTATAGATCAAACATGATTGCCACTCATTACCCCTTTTGCAAACCACAACACCCAAAAGGAGAGAAAGAACAAAAGGGAATGCCCTACCACAGAGGTAGGGTGGTATGGGGGGGAATGGGGGGTGGGAGGGATACTGGGATCCGTGGTGGTAGTTAATTGGCACTGGTGGAGGGATGGGTGTTTGATCATTGTATAATTGAAACCCAAGCACAAAAATTTGTAAGTTTACAACTTTACCTCATGGTGTTTCACTAATAATTTTTTTTTAAAAGAACCCCTCTAATTAATGGGGAAAAGCAGAACAAACACTTCCTAAAAACATACAGATGGGCAACAGGTATATGTAAAAATGTCTTTTTTCACTCTTCAGAAATAAAGTGCAAAGCAAAATGGCAAGAAGATATCATGTCACACCAGTTAGACTAACACACACTCAAAGACTAGAAATAACAGCGCTGTTGAGGGTGAAGGAAAAGGAACCTTCATCCACTATTGCTGGGCATATCCTGTGCTTCAGTCTCTATGGAAAATAGTATGGAGACTTCAAAACACTGAGATATGAACTTCCATTTGACTTTGAGATTTCGCTTCTTGGCACCTGCCTTGAAGAATCTAAACTCTTTCACTTGAAAAGATGCTTGCACTTCTAAGTTCTTTGCCCTGCTAGTCACAGTTGCCAACATATGGAAGCAACCCAAGACCTGAGAACATGCGACTTAAAAAAGAATCTATCCTATGTATACCCACTCAATGGAATACTAGTCAGCTGTGAGAAACAAGAAATCCTGCAGATTATTACTACTTGAATAGAAATAGAGGGTAAATCATAATAGAGGGTAAATCAAAGACAAAACAAATAGCTAATGATTCCTCTTATTTGAAGTAAAGTTATAAATAATACCAGAATTTAAAAGTAAGCAGTTGAAACAGATCCTGATAATCTAGCTGCAGAAGTGATTGACTAAGAGGTGGCTTTGGTGAGAAAGGGTGAGAGGATCTAGAATCAGTGATTTAATGACATTCTGGTATGGGGTTTGGTGTGGAAACAGGTATCCCTGAAACATTATTCTAAAGAGTATTGTAAAGCAGAGTACATACCTAAATTTAATTTTTAAAAAATATGAAGAAATATATTTTTAAATAGTTCATTCATGTACACAAATAATGTAAGTTTAAAAGAAAATTTTAGAAAATAATTCATTTGCAACTGTGCAGAAAAAAATAAAATAGCTAGAAATAATTAAAAATTTTAATGTCTATATGGAACAAATTGGACACATAATGCGATTTGGAGACGACTGCTGGACTAGAGCCATTACCAACTGGATTCCACGGGATGTCAAAAGAGCCTGGCCGCCCACCTACTTGTCGGACTTCTTTGTCAAAACCTGAGTGAACGGTTTGATGCTCTTGTGTTCCTGAAGCGAGAGACGCCATTGGACTACATTAGCATGTGACAGGGACAAATGGAGACATTACTGGTGCTCACTCAAGCAAATCCATGAGCAACGGGATGACAAGTAACAAGTAATACAAGTGATGGAACAAATTAAATTTTAGACATTTCTTTCAATGAATAAAAACTGAAACAACATAGGCATATAATTAAATACAAGATTTAAGTTTAAAATACTTAGAAGATGTGTGATGTGAAATATTTTAATTTATGATAAGCACAGATTTCTAAAGATTTATTGTAAGCTGTGTGCCAGGAATTCTATTATGGGTAGCTTGTAAATCACAGGCCTAGATCATTTTTTAATTATTTCTCAATAAGAAAATACATTTTTCTTTAAAACGAAATGTATTTTCTTATAAAAATGTAGAAATCACGGTTTATAAAAAGAAAGTTTTGAAAATTGGGTGATAAAATCATCATTATGTCATTCTGAGTAATATTGTTAGTAAATTAAAGAATAAGTCACAAAAGGGGTGAGGATAGTTCTAAGTAATATATGAAATCAAGGACTTGTATCCAAAATCTATAAAGAACTGTACACTGTATTGTCTTTAAATAAAATTACTGAACTCTCATCTTTTAAAAATGTACCAAAAAAATTTCAAGAACTCACAATAAAAGATTTTTTAAAAATAATCTAAGGGGCCAGATATATATTACATAGGGTGGGTTCTTGCCATGCTCTGAGATTGCCTTGCATGATCCTGAGCTCAGAGCCACAACTATGTCCTGAGCACCCTGGGATGTGTCCACAAATTAAATAAATATTTTAAATAAGCAATAGATAGGAAAAGATGAATGGCAAAGACAAATATGTGTTAAATACATCAGTTATTGAGTAAAGATAGCAAAAGCTATCACTCTACATTTACTGTAATGTTACAATTACAAAGTCAGGTCATAGTAAATGTTGATCACACCTATGAGAATGTTGATTTCAATAACAGTGACCTCCAAAAGTTATCTGAGGGCATTCAAATTCTTCACAATATTTGCAAGGATGGAGAATGATATGATGTATATGAAAAATGGAGGAAGTCATTTAAAATTCTCATCAAAATAAACCATATGATCTAACTCCTTCATCTTAAATGTGTAGCCATAAGACCGAAAGCTAAGATCCTTTAAAAAGTGATTTATACACCCATAGCTTAATTTTTATGGACCCAA